TTTTTTTTTTTTTTTTGCTTTTTTATTGTCTTTCTTTCTAGATCAGCGTTTTTACGCAATCCAAACCCTTCTCTCTCTCTCATGATGATGATGCGCCGTGTGATGTGTGTGTTGGCCGTTGTGCTGTGCTGTGCCTGCGGGTATACCATGGCGGCTGCCACTGGTGTTGTGGCAACCAATCAGGGGACGAAGGTGGACGAATCTGAATATGAAGTTTCATTGGGTCATTTGGGAGATTTCCCTGGTACCTTAAAGAGTGACAGAGATGAGGCTGCTCGGATTAGGAATGGGCGACGTTCTGAGGGAAGTGTTCCAGGAGAAAGTGAATCACCAGTCGGTGGACAAAGTAAAAATGCTGCTCTTGGTGCCCCTGGTCCAAAGGCTCTTGAATCTCCTCTTGAAGGTAAAGAAAACCCAGAAGGCCCTGAAAGCAAAGGTGGTCCTGAAGCTGAAACTGCTATGGCTACTACTTTTGGTGCTCCTACTACTGTTCCTGAGGTTGGTGGTGGGACACCTGCAAATGGCACTGAGGCTGAAAGACAGAATCGAGGAACAGGAAGTGTTACCAGCTCGCAAAGGAAACCTCAAGGGTCTACTGTAGCATCACAAAGTAACGAAGAAGCGTCGAGTAACACAGGGGATAACACTACACCTGGCGACTCAAATACTACACAGCAATCGTCTACTCCAGTTGTTGATGTGACTGCCGCACCAGACCCAGAGGAACCCAATTCAACTATTCCGCCGAGCCCCGAGAACACTACCACAGAAGCACCAACCACCACTCCATCTCTTGTTCCCGTGACCGACCCACAAATCAACAACATCACTTCCACTGTACAGACGAAGGCTAGTGCAGACAGCAGTGTCAGTTCTGTGTGGATGTCTACTGCAGCACCGCTGGTGATTGTGGTTGTGTTGTTCACTGCTACCGTGTACTAAATGGTGGGACTCATCTGAGAGCAAATAATAATGGTTAAACCAACATAATCATAATTGCGTACACCTCCCATGGGTGAATGAATAAACTAATAATCTGTTTACCAGCTTTCTCTTTTAATTCGATTTTTTTTTCTTTTGCTTTTGTGTGTTGGTTGTTCTTTTTCTAATAATTCCATTACTTGTTTTTCCGTTGTGTGTTTGCAGAAAACTGGGCTGTTCTTGCTCACTGACGGTATACATCTCTTGCTAGTACATACAGATGTGTGTGTGGAGTAATTTAATACATAAACTAGAGCCATGGGGTATTGTGTGTGTGTGTGTTATTGGAGACTCTCTCTGTGTGTGCACCTGGGCTTGCACTATGATAATGATGATGAACTGCTTTTTTTAATAAGAGGGAAAACAGTGAATAATAATAATAACAGATGAATTTATATTTATAATTGCGTCTGCCATGTAATTCTGATGGTCGTTCTCTTTAATTTCTTTTTTTTTCTTTTGAGGGGTTTATTGGGATTATCTGTTTGTGATTCGGTATTGTGTGTGTTTTTACTTTAATTTGGCCACTATCTGAGTTATGGTTGCAGCTTTCTGCAGTGTGTGCGCCTCTGCTGTAATTATTGAGTGTTGTTTGATTTGGTATGTGTTCTCATCTTGTGTGTTTTTCCATTGATTCACTTTGTTTCTGTTTTTCCCTCTATACTCTTTCTTTTTTATTGTGCATTCCATTAAAGTAAAAACAGGTGCAACGATATCCACAACAATACCTGCAACCATTGTAATAATAAAAATGATGCGCTACGTGCTGTGTATCCTCGCTCTCCTGCTCTCATGTGCGTGTGTGCACGTCCTCGCTGAAGAAGTGCCTGCCGCCGATCTTTCCGACCAAGTCCCTGATACGGAGAGTGAGACAAAGATTCTTCTTCAAGGTACTCCTGTTCACCATAGTGAGGAAGATTGTCCTGGTGAAAGAGGTTCTCCTGATAATGGTAAGCAATGTAAGAAAAGCCCCGAACTTCCTTCTGGTACTGGTGGTTGCCTTAATGGTATTCCTGAAAATGGTAAGAACTGTACAAAGGAAGTGGTTCCTGTCGACGATCTTTCCCACCATGTCCCTGATGCTAAAGTAAAAAAATGTGATGAGTCTCAAAATGAAGAAGAGAAGAATGCCTGCGTACAAAGAGCCAAGCATGTGTTAAATCCAAAAAAAACTGAAGTTCTTAATGAGACGCCTAATTCTCAAGAAGACTCTGAAACTCTTCGTCAACAAAGTGATAATGTTCGTTCTGGTCCCGTTGCTCCTGGTGTCCAAAATAACGAAATGAGTGAAACTGGTCTTTCTCGTACTAGTGGTACTTTAAGTAGTGCTGCTAAACCAGCACCTGCTGATTCTGCTGAACCTACTGCAGATACCACTGAGGCTGTTGCTGCAGGTGAAGTGCAAACTGGAGAGAGCGGCATCAATGCAGCGGGTGAAAGTGCGGCTAGCCAAGGAAGTGGGGCACCACAACCATCTTCTCCTTCTCCCAGCGGTTCAACCTCAGCAAGTGACGGATCTGCGAATAATGAAACAACTGAGAGCGGCACTTCATCTGCAGAGAGTGAATCAACAAATACACAAGAAGAAGGTGATGGAGAAAATACAGAAACCACTACCACCACCACCACAACAACAACACTTCCTCCTGAAACTGCAAACAACAAGAAGGGTGATGCAGACAGCAGCAGCAGTATCAGCAGTTCTGTGTGGGTGCGTGTACCACTACTGATTGTGGTTACACTGGCCTGTATTCTTGCGTGCTGATTGTGATTATTGTGGTAGTGTGACTCAGGTCATCCTTTGTTTTCTTTTTTCTTTTTTGCATACATTCCCTACAGTCTAACTAATCTTTTCACCTGTTGGGATTCTTTCTTCTTTTTTTGTTTCTTAATGTTAATGTGTTTTGTGTGTTTTTGCTCTCTCTGTGTTTATCCTATAATTATTATTATTGCTATTCCATTGTGTGTGTGTGTGTGTGTTCTTGGAGACTCTGTGTGTGTGCACCTGGGCTTGCACTGTAATAATGATGAACTGTTTTTTATAGTGGGAAAGGAAAAAGAAATAATAAGAAATGAATTTATATTTATAATTGCGTATATATACACACATATAGACTTATACCCATAGTTGGTGTGTATTTCTGTGTTTACTGGGTAAATTGGGCTAATGGATAGTATCTGTTTTTTTGCTTGTGGTTTGCTGGGGCATTCTATGCTGTACTGCGTGAGTCTGTGATGATATGGATGTCCTTTTGCCTCTAGCTTTACTAGTTTAATTTTCTGTATTGCTTTGTTTTTGTTTTGTTTTCTACAGTGTTGAGCTTTGTTTGTGCTTCTCTACTTGTATATATGTCTGGTTTTTGGTATTATGACCATTTTTTAAATCTCTCATATTTTTTTTTCTTTTTAGTAGAGTGTTTTTAAGGGAAACCCAACAACCACTATTATGGCTATGAAGAAGATAATGGGCCATGTGTTGTGCTTACTGTCTTTCATCCTGTACTGCGTATGTGTATGCGTAATGGCTAATCTAGATAAAGGTTCTACTGGTATTCCTGGTGCCCCTGGATTTGCCGGAGGTGTTGCTGGT